TAAAATTAAATGAAATAAAATAAAACAGAATAAAAAATAAAATGAAAATAAATAAAAAATAAATAAAAATAAAAAAATAAAATAAAATAAAATGAAAATCATTGTAGTGGTTACATATACTTAACGTTATATTGTATTTAGCAATGATCATTTAGCAAAAAAAATTCGGTACTGAAACTCCGGTATGAAAATCTGTATCTCTACCTAAACATTTTCCCTCCCAACATCTGCTTCGAGATTAATATTTTTCACTAATTCCATTGAAGCAAATGATAATGGAAGCCAACTTATTACCCTGTTTGGTGTTACAGGTATGAACATACTAGGTAATACATTCTTTCCTCTCTAGCAGTTACACAAATCTATGTGGACATCCTCCAAGAACACAAAACTACATGGCCAGCGGCCGAGATAAACTTTTTTCAAAAGTCTTGTTTACCTAGTCTCGGAAAGGAGTATCCTTAGGCTTCTTTAGACAGGTGAAATGCACGTAACAACCTTCTGAAAACCTTGTCCCCAACCAGAACCCAACATTCATTTCTTGGTCTGACTTGCCTGGTATCCTGTCTATCGTAGTTAGGGCAGGCTGTCTTAAGGGTTTTTCACTGTCAAATGTATGTAATAGTGAGGCTGATACTTGTAGTGCCCCTACATGTAGGGACGGGAAATGCGGAATAATAAGGACAACGTTATGCCTCTTAACCACCTGAATAGTTAGCTTAAATTTTGTGGGCACTAAGAGTGTAACAGGGCATTAGTGGTGGCCCTGAAAACCCTATTCTTAACAAGACTTACCGATGTGACGTTACCGAATTTCACGAACATGTATCCAAAGCTTATTTTAAACTAAACATAAGTACGTACAAAAACACTACCTAAAACATAAACTAAGCGAAGGTAATAAGAACAAGTATGATGTTTTTAAAAAAACACAGGCGACGATTTTGTGTTTACCTGTTTCGTTCTTGATAAATCGTTCTTTTCATACACGTACACATATAATTTGGAAAGAATTTATAATTTCTGCTACAGTGCCAGGAAAGCCGCCAGGGGTCAAAAATCAGTTAGGCCCAGGCAAA